TTGCTTATGTATAAGATATGACCTAATCCATGTTTTTTATATGTTCATACATTTTCTTTCTCAACATTTGCAGCAATTGACTAAACACGGTTGTATTATTCACGATGCAAGAAAAAAAAAATGAGAAGTTTGAAATTACGAGGCCGGCGGTACGCAGTTTGGAATCTTGACCAAACTTGAAGAAATAAAATTGACCATGTAATCTGATAGCGAAAGTGGATCTGTCGATAAACTTGTTGACCTGGTTTTTTCTCAGCTCTTGAACTAAGAACACCGGCAATCAGGTGACTTTGAGATTCATTCATTTTGAGATTCATTCATTCATCCATTGTTTTCCAGTCTATTCTATAGCGCATAATCGAACGATCATCCAAAAATCGAGTAGTGTAGTGATTCAGCAGAGTGGTTCCGCTTTGATTAATTTCTGATCCATATATGCACCGAGTATGATGCAAACAAAATCATTAGACATTCAAAAAAAGGAATCAATTACTTTACATCTTCGATTTACAAAATTATGACACAATAATGCGATAAATTTAACTACTAATTGGTTCGATGAAAGAACAGAAGAGAGAAGAAAGTTTCCGTAAAATCTCCAGCAGGAAGCTGATTTTTTGAGCTTTCCTTGTTCTTTCCAAGAACCGAGTGTATGATCTGTGACATAAAATTCACTCAGTTGTGAAGTGGATTTGGTCCTCCGGGGACAGCTTTGTGAGCAACAACATTTATTCCGTTCATCTTCCTGTATCCAAATCCTGCAGAAGAATGAGAACCGGCACCAAGGCGCCGTGCAAAGAGGGACGAAAACTCGGCTCTTAGTCTTGATTCCGAATCCTTGCTGCCATGCCAGGACCAGGTGATGCGCCGGCAACTCGAAACATGAGCTAGTGCTAGAATCACAACAAAGAGCATAATCACAGGAGAGAGTTTACAAATTCTCATGACTCCAGAAACTTAGCTAGAAGGCTTGAACTCAAAGGATTAATTTATACGAAATTAGGCATGCTTTGAATTGTTTTTTTTTTTCCATTTTTTTTTATTTGGAAGGAAAAGATGAGGCAGCCACTGGTATGATAGAAGCCAAAACTAACAATCAATCATATATATATATATATATGAGAATGCTTGAACACTCATTTTCTAATCATTGTTAGGGCTCAAGGAAAAAAAATGAAAATAAATAGATAATCCAATGAGAAAAGACAACACATTAAACCAAGAAGCTGATAGAAGCAAGCTAGCTGATTTGTTTGATGTTAAGATATCGGGAGGGACACGTATTGTTTTAGTACTATGTAAAAATTGTAACATTGTTATGAAGAAACAAGATCTGCTTTATAACCAGTTGTACGTAATGAGAGAGATAGATAACTGCTGAAGCCTGAATCCCTCGTTATTAAGGCAAGTCATTAAATTGTAGTAGCTAAGGGGCCAGGGCATTTAATCAATTGTACAACATTTTAAATACAGTACAGTTAAAAGATATGTCAATGGTCAGAAACTTCAACTGCCAGCAGTAGACATTGAAAGGTGATTGTGGTCCAAAAATGAAAAGACTGGGATCCTGGATTGGTAATATTTGGTTTTCAGTGAAAAAAACAGAGTACGAACGTGAAATGCACATTCAGAGCTAGAAACAAAATGCCTGCACAATGAAGAATCTGAAAAGAAAAAAAACAAAACTGTCCTCCGAATGAAGATCAGAAAAACAACTTTTGATGGAAGTAGCTTATGCTTGCTTCCACAGGGACACCGATTTTCGTGTGCCACGAGAAGTGGAAAACTTTGAAACAATAGGTACATAACATGTTTCTCCTGCCTTGAGAGACATCAAAATCCATATCTACGCGTATGGTTTCTTATGGGTGGCTTGTCGTGCCGTTAGGGTAATGCGTTGTATGTTCGAGTCGTGGTGCCGGTAGGGTAATGCATTGCCGTGCCGGAAGGAGAGTCTTTCCTCAGAAGGACAAGGTGCTCGAGTGACAACCAGCAATCTTTGATTGAATAATCAGTGTCATTGTAGTCTTGGATTGTTTACAATGATGTAGCATTGTGAAGGGACTACCCATGTGAGAGATGTTCTGAATTTCTAGCATTTTTGTTCTGAATGAACTTGATATGAAGTGAAATGTGGGCAGCCCAATTCCTCCGGGCCACAAGCTATTTTGCCAAATGACTCGAACCCTAAAGACATGCTTATCTCTCGAGAAGATATTCGACAGAGTTATCTGATTAGAAATGCTCTCAAACAAAGTGAGACCGCAAGAGGGCAGATGAACCAAAACATAAGGAGTTTCAATTCTTTTGAAAGAGATGACGGCTTGGAGCAACCCCACAGTATCTCCCTAACAAAAGTATTAGGGCAGAATACTAATTTCGTACGTACGAATCATCTACATATAATTCCTTAACCGCGCAAAGGACTCACAGAAGTCGAAGATGGATGATTTATTACACCACAACTTAAGCACCCACGAAAATCTGATTATAACAGGAGTATCCTAGGCTATGAAAACAGTAACTCATGTTTGCACAAGATTCACCAAATATGCAGCAGCCAAACCCCAACTTCGATAGTACCTAAATGGTTTTGGGATTTGCAATTACTCTTGCTTAGCTTCAGCACTGGATGACGTTTCCTCGGATTTAGCAGCTGGACTATCGGATGGAATATCTTCAGCAGGCTTAGTAGCTTCTTGATCAGCGGCTATAGCGGTTTCACTAGTGGATTCTCCTTCAGTTCCCGGAGCTGTGCTCTTAATAGATCCAACCTTGACATACTTGCTCATGAACTTGTATTCCCAATCCTGCAAGGCCTCGAGTTCAAATGGACCAAGACCCGAGATATCACCATTCAGATCTTTCTCTTCAAAAGACATTTTAGCAAGAGCTCGGCTAGCATCTTTGCCTGCGAACAGAGCATACGGCCCACCAGGTCCATAAAACATCCTGCAATGACGATTCAAAAGTATATAAATTTGGATCCGTAAAGAGAAGACAACATTAGACAAAGTACTCGTCGTTATGGAACTATTTGTTTCACATCACTTATAATAAATGACATGGATGATTAAGCAAGAGCTAAAAAAGTGTATTCTACATTCATACAACACATTCATACAAAGCCATCTAATCTCACTCAACAAGTTGTTCTCAGACGAAACACCTGTAACCCTCAAGAGGAACTTCGTTATAAACTATGAAATAGCCGTACAAAAACCATTCCCAAAGAAAAGACTAAATGAAAGCATGCACAGAAGAGCTGGAAAATGTAAAAACTTTGGGTAACAAACAGTTCCAAACACTTCTAATTTGCGACGACAGAACCCTTCAATGAAGGGCCTTCATCCCTTCATTTGATATTACTTAAGCCAACACTCCCCGAAAATACACGATGAGCTTGGAAGATATTACTTTTGATCAAACCCATTGTAAAAATCACATTGTTAATACTACATTAAGATCAGCCAACATAAAACTTCAAAATTCCATGATCTTAAAAGCTGGAATTATATAATTACAAACACAATATTCCAGATGTCCAAAGGTTTAACTTTTAAGTGAACCCAATGCCAATGGATTACAAATCCAAAAAACATCGAAAATTAAGCCGGAAATTTCACAAACCCAGAAGCTAAAATTACAACATAACAAGATAATCAGTAGCTAATGAGTTAAAAACAACATACAATTAACAATCCAGAAGCTAAATTAGCATAAATTCATACACTTCGAAGCTAAAACACCCGTTGACCACAAAATTACATGAAAAGATATAACCTTTAAGCATAAATATCAAAACCCCAGAAACCAGAAACTAAAACCCAAAATTAAAATTAAAATTAAAATTAAATTAATAAAAAAGAAAAAGAAATATCCAATTGGCACCTGCCCTGTGACACGTCATAGATCTGACCCTTGACAGCCATGAGCAAAGGCTTCTTGGGATCGGTGCCATCGTACTGCGTCAATTCGTCTTCGGTGATCTCGCCAAGCTGGACAGGAGGCGGGAGAGGCTGCATCTCCTCCATGTCCCTGTCCAGCTGACGGTGGTCCTGGGACGACCCGAACAGCCCCGACGCCACGTGGTAGACGGCCACGAGGAGAGCTAGCACAGTGAAGAAGGTCGTCGGAGAGAGGCCGGTGTAGGCCACGATCGCCTCTTTCAGTGTTTCCCACAGTTGCAGAGCCATTTTTGGGATTTTAGAGAGAGAAAGTGGGATGGGGGAGAGATAATGAAAAGGCGATGAGATTTTTATCAACTCGGAGTTAAAAAAAAGGTTGGGGTCGGCTAAGTAACGTTAATTTGGGTTTTGTTTTGTCTTAATTGGTCCCCCTAGTTGTTTTGTTTAGTCTTAATTGGTCCCCCTAGTCCCACAACCACTCCCACCAACTTAACTTCTTTTTTTTTTTTTTTTTTTTTTTTTTTTTTTTGAGAAGGTTCTTTTCTTTTTCTTTTTTTTTTTTTCTGTTTTTTTTTCTTTTTTGAATTTTAATTTGTTGTTGACCTTACTTCTAATTTACCTCTCTCAAGTATACTCTTAAGAATAGTTAATTACACTTTGCCCTCTGAAATTTGTGGCATGTAAATATTTGGTCTATGGGTTAAGAAATTTGCAAAAGCAGCTTTAATAATCAGAAATTGTTACATTATTATTATTATGGTGTAAAGATGAAAATATTATACGGACACACGCTTTTGACGCACTTTTGACACACGTTTTGTGACTCATTTCATTGAGGCACATTTTGACTCACTCTAATCGTCTATTATGAGGCTTAACCCATTCATCACCTCTTAGTGTAGACAATATCGTTTGTTAAAAAAATATTAAAAACAAAAATAGAGAATATGGACCAAATTTAATGTATAGCCGCAGCCTGCAGCCTAACACGTGAAATTGAAAGAATCAACCAAGTTTGGTTTGTTATACCAGAACAAGACTCGACATTATTATATTTTTGTATATCGCATATAATCCTTCTTCTTTGATTAATCAAACTGCTAGTGATTTCACCTCATCTTCTTTCCACAACCCTTCTTCGTATCTATACCACCTCACGATCCCTTCGTCGTTTCTGTTCCTCATGCACATGACGCACGACGAGTCGTCGTCCTGCATGTGCATGCATGTTATAAATCTTCGTAACCTCGAAGCCTTGTGAACAACGGATCGATCAAGCTCTTTAACAATTACAACATCCTGACCGAGCTGAGGGATTTCAGCCAAAACAAGGCAATGCGATACATTGAGAACTTGCAGGTTCTGCAGACCGTCTAGCATCGTGGTTAAAGCGTCCTTCACGAACATTGAGCATCGAAGGCTTAAAACCTTGAGGTTTGGAAGATATTTAACTAGTTCTAAAGCAAAGTTACAAGTAGGATTCGTGGCGCCTATCAATTTTAGCTCGCTGAAATATTTGCAGTTGTTTGAAATCGCCTTCAAGAGGACGAGAAATTCGGTCCATTCTATGTTCCCTATTGTCAGGGATTCAAGGTCTTTCCAACAGCCGATGGCCTTGCGGATACCATCAATCTCTATTTTGTTCCAGGATGGCATGACTAGTCGCTTCAGATTCGGGCACCTGCGATCGATAATCAACACAAAACGTTAGTCTAAGGGGCCGTTTGAGACTACTTCTTCGGAAAGTATTCATAATATAAGCCGTTTTGCTAGAATTAGTTTTGTTAGAAACACCGTGAAGTTAGGCATGTGCTTCTCTAAAAAGTAGTTTTTGTCAATGGTCGCGATCAAAAAATTGTTTCTTAGAAGAAAGTCTCGAACAAGTTTCAAATACTTAACGTACCTTTCAGCGGTGTAGATGAAGAGATCATTGGGAACATATAACTGGAGATTAAAAATCAACGTGGTTATGTTCCTGTGGCTGAGACTCAGAGAAATCTTCAAAGCGCGACTCAGTGCCATCTCGGACCGGCTGCAAACATAAACATAAGGTTTATCTGGGGTTTTGATGAAATGTGATTTCATCGTCGACAAATCAAGCGTGTTCCAAAGCCGAGGATCACACAGAGTCGAACGCCACTTCTTGCAAACGGCACTACAGTTAACCTTTCCGATGGCGGAAGATGAATCATCAGATTCAGAGGTGTCGTCGAAGCAGTCTAAAATCTTCCACAATATGTCAGCATTCAGGTCTTCCCATCTTCCCAAAGTCATACGCGAGTTATCGCATGACATTGTTTCTCGACTTCTTTTTTTTTTCGTTTCTTGATCTTCCATTCAAGCTTTAGTCTTATAATTTAATTTTTAATTAATCAGACGGTTAAGTTGTTAATCTGTGTGTTACCGATATTGTGGGAGCCAGGAAGTTCTTAATGCTGGAGTTGTATACGGTCAATTTGTTGGTGGGGGTTAAGATACTTAAGATGTATATTATATATATATATATATATATATATATATATATATATATTGAACAGAAGCCTAATTCCAATTCCAACGGGAGTAGGAATATGCTTTCCTGTAACGATATGTAATTACCAGACCTAACAGAATAGTAAACATAATAACAATAGAAGTATAGAAATAGCTTAACGCACAAGGAACAATAAGCCCACGACCGATACCCGTCATAAACTATAGGCTCGAGACTTTTTTTTTTTTTTTTCGAGCGATATTCTAATATAATCCAAATTATGAAAGGAGGGGATTCGATCTTTGGTGCAGAGAAGGCAGCATAGTGGTTGAGCCAACTTGCTCAAAGACTTTTGAGTAAGGAAAGAAAAGTAATCACATTATGTACAGTATTAACACATATTACTCAGAAGAAGAAAAAGCACACACTTCAAGTGGTAGTCTTATGTGTCGATGGAGAGGAGACGGAGTTTTAATCGTTGACGAGGAAATACAGCCATCAAGGGGGTAAGACGATTACAAAAGCGAGCTATAGTTTCTAACCCACACTAAAAGTTTTAGTCTCATTCTCTTGCTGTAATCAACAAGCTAGGGAGCTCATCTCATCTTCTTTCCATAGCCCTTCTTCGTACTTATACCACCTCACGAGTCCCTCGTCGTTTTTGGTTCTTTGGTGGCTGGGTTCGGTTGGCAAACCGTGTCAAATTCCTTGTGCCACCTGCCAGCCACATATACAGAATTACCGAAAATTAGTTACCGCTAGCCAACCATCTTCTTACCGTTGCCAAAAATCGGTTCAGCCAAAATTATTGGCTGGTTCGGTTGGTAAATGACACAACCGGTGATTTGCATTGCACTGCATTATTGGTCCCTGGACCTGAGGAAATATATGCGTACATCTTCTAACTCCAAATAAGGAGATACAACAGGAAAAAAAAATCATTTAAAAATAATATTGGAATGCAACGGTACTATGAATATGTGAGATCTACATAAAGCATTGCAGTACAATAAATCCCAAAGAAAAGGGTTCCACAAATGTTTACCTAAATTTGAAAGTTGATGAAGAAGAAGAAGATTTCTGGCAAAGATAGTAGTTGGCCGGATGACAGGGATGTGTGCATTGAAGAGAAGAAGAAAATTGAGAGAAAGCTGCTAGAAGTTGTGCATATATTTTTTACCCTAAAACTAAGGAGTCATTTATTTTCTAAATCCTAAAACTTAGGAGTGAAGCATGTAAAAAATACCTAAAATATCTAAATAGAAAAAGAAAAATGAAAAAAATATATATAGGTAGGTATAGCATACTGCGGGCATAAAATCAATTACCAAATCCATGCCATTAATTGTCGGTTTGGTAAAATGGCAACCGATTATGAAAAAAATACCAAAACTATACCTTACCATTATGAGCCAACCGATATGGTTCGGTCCGTAAATTGGTTTATGGCAAAATTTCCCACCCCTGCAAGTGTCCTGCATGCATGTTAAAAATCTTCGCAACCGAGAGGCATCTCGAGAATAAGCGGATAAGTTCTCTAACAAGTCTCCTAGTTGCAGTAGGCGGAGGGGTTTCGATTAGAAGGCAATGTGAGATGTTGATAACTTCTAGGTGTTTTAGGCCATCCAAGATCGTGATCAAATCATCCTCTAAGAGCATCGAGCAACGGAGGCTTAACACCTTCAGTTTTGGAAGATATGCAACTACTGTTGAAGCAAACAAACTATCACAAGGACCCATGATCTTCAGTTCACTAAAATTTTTGCAGTTCCCTTCAATCTCTTCCAAGAGGTACAGGGGATTCGCCATGCTTGGCATTGTTAGCGATTCAAGCTCTTTCCAGCAGTGAATGGCCTTGCAGATTCCGGTCTTTTTTATTCTGTTCCAAGCCGGCATAACCAGTCGCTTCAGCTATGGGCACCTGTGATTAAGTGAAACAACCTCATATTTTGCATATCCCAACTTTAAAATGCCTGGAGAAACAACCTCATATTTTGCATACCCTAACTTTATACGAGAAAAACGACATTACTTCCATAGCAATGGAATCTAAACGCAGATATGCAAACATTAACCGAAGGTAGGATTAAAGTTTTAAACTACAATCATAATTGGCAAAAGTAAAACAAATATTGAGATGAGAGTTTAATGAGTTACCTTTCAGCAGTATACATCACCCGATCATCGCTCACAAATAAGTTGAAATGGAAAACCAAAGCCCTTATGTTTCCCCGGCTGAGACTCAAGGAAGTCTTCAAAATACGAGTCAATGTCTTCTTGGACCGGCCATCATCATAACATAAGGCTCCAATGGTATTTTGATGAAATTCGACTTCAACGTCGACAAATCAAGTTGTTTCCACAGCAGGGGATCACAGCAAGCCAAGCACCATGCCCGATAACTCAAAAATGTCGAAAGACTGAAAAATCTTCACTAGTATGTCAGTATCCAGGTCCTCCCATTTTCTCACAGGGAAGCCACCGTCGTCCATTTCACCAGCTTTCCAACCACCTCCAGACAACCTTACTCCATCTCAATTTCTACATAAACAAGTAAACCAAATTATCAATACTCAAAATCTACAGTTCACTAAAACAAACTGCAATTCGACATTTACAATTCAAGGCCTACGAGTTCTAAAGAAAATAACGGGCGAGTTAAACGATCGCCTTGAGGAATTGTATTGAAGTCTCACGGTCACAGATGCAAAGTTAGACATCGATAAATGTCGAATCAGCAAACTCTTGAAACAGCAGAAGCTAATTTGGGGAAAGCTAAAGGCAAGAGACAAACAATTGAGGCAAATTTAGCTCTCAGACGAGCTAAGACACGAGTAGAGGCTATCAATGGATTTTAGATTTTTGTCATTTTTAGTCTGATTCTTATTTATGACATAAGATTCGGTTCAAGTGTTTTTTTGCTTTTTTTTTTTTCTCCTTTTTCGGGTCTGATTTGGGATCTTTGTATTTTTCTGCCAAATTTCATCCGTACATCCAAAATTAATGGATTAAACAAATATCACTTTCTATTATATATTCATAATAACTTCCCCCAATTTCTGGTCAATTACAAAAGACGAAAGCTGGAGATCTCGGGGAATACAAAGTTCTTCACTCAAAAAAATACATCCGCAGAACTGATGAGATTCGTCCTTCTAAATCCGTCCCCTTCGCTTGCTGTTGCTGTATGCATGACAGATCACTTCCGGTAAGGGCCATCTATCTGGGAAATAAAAGAGCATGAACGAAAATATCAGTAGTTCATGGTGCATTGTCATATAAACTAGCATATCAAAGCTGAGAAATTTCATCTTTACCTGCTTACTAATTCTCTTGCAATACTTCTTGTGTGATTCAAGTTCTCAACGCTTTTTATGGGGTCGCTGTCATCAAGTAATGTGGTTTTCAAATTCTTAAAGAATTTCTCGTACAGGGCACCATCTATGTCCCCTAAAATCGAGCTCCATCCCACACGAAGGCACTCGGGAGATTCCAGCATCACATCTTGCTCTTCCTGCTTTTGTTCTGTTGGCAGTGATTTTAGCAACCACTTTTTGTCATCCTTATTTCTTGTTCGGCTGCTTACTACTGCCTCCAACCTAGCAGCCATGACAGTCGCTCGTCTGATGCATGAGGAAGGTAGCTACAAAACATGGAATTCCCAACTTATATTACACTACAAAGTCATTGCGTTCCTATCAAAGGGAAAGGGAGAAATGTTTAAGATAGTGGGGAAAGAGGGCAAAGAGACAGGAATTACCTGTGCAAGCTCTGCAACCTTAAATCCGAAACTCCTCTCTGAAACACCAGGCACAAGCTTATATAAGTAAGTGACATCTTGATTTTCGGATTGAATGCCTGTCGAACCCATATCTCTATTTGACGTCAGATAAGAAACATGGTACGCCTCCACTAAGCCTGGGAATTCAGTTCTGATATGAGCAATTTTTGGGTAGTGCGTGACAAATAGGACCATGCATCTTTTCTGCTGTAGTAGATGATTTAATGTAGCATAAGCAATAGCCACACCATCGTGTGTGCTCGTGCCTCTCCCAAGCTCATCAATGATAACCAATGAGCGTGATGTACAATTGTGAAGTATATGTGAAGCCTCGCTCAGTTCTTCAAGAAAGGTGCTTCTCCCTTGGTGAATACTGTCAGAAGCACCCATTCGAGTGAAAATGCTGTCCAGCACATGCAGTTTTGCCGATGATGCTGGAACAAAGGAACCAACCTAAAAGAATCAGAAGTTTAGAACACACTTTATAATGCAACAGCTGAAAGAGATTCACTTGCTAAGGAGAACTGAAAGGGACTAGAGCAACTTGGTGAACATAACCAATTCCCTTGTATCGACCAAAGCATATACAGTTAAATTAGTCGGAACAATGATTTTACCTGAGCCATAAATTAGTCGGAACAATGATTTTACCTGAGCCATGATAGCAATGAGAGCAACTTGGCGAATGTAGCAACTCTTTCCACCCATATTGGGTCCAGTAATAATCTGACAATACTCCCCATCTGCCTCCAAATCTGTATCATTGGGAACAAAATTGTCTTGTAATATAGTCTCCAAAACCTGGTGAGAAATTACAGCTATTAAAGAGAATCCCACAACTCATGAAATATAGCCCCTTTAGTAGAAGAGCTGCTATACAATTTGAAATTAGCCATAAGACAGTGGATGAAACAATTTTATTTAAACGGCAGAGCCCTTCAATTTTAATAAATCTGATTTCTTCGGAACTTAGGCAAACCCAAGTCTCAGCCTAATCAGCGGAAGAAAGTGGTTCTTCCAATAGAGAGGTGAGACCTAACG